TATTGTGCTTCGACGGTTGCAGGTGCATACCGCTCGCAGCCACAACGTCGCCTGGCGAAGTCTCCTGCTTGAGCAGTGGCGTCGCGTGGCAGGCATGGAGAGCGCAGAGGGGGCGCTGCTGCTAAAGCTCGGCTGTCTGTAGATTTGTGCCTCGTTTTCGTTCCGTCAGCTCACGCATACAGACTCTGCGGACCCGACGTGTCGTGCAGCCATGGTTCCGCCTTCACCTGCGGCTGCTGCAGACGTGCGAGTTTGCTCGTACAAATATAGTACAACTGCTGTGTCTGGAAAGCGCGCCCGCAGGTGTCACTACTGCACAACGACAAGCGTTGGTGTTGAGACCCGCCAGCCGGCTTCCTAGCTACGCTGGAGAAGAAAAGCTCTTGGAGCTGTATCCTCTCCATGCGTGTACTGCTGCCAGCGGGATTCTTCAGCGGCTTGCCGAAGGGGGCGGCAGGCAGTCGATCGCAGACCTGTTCGCTGCCTTTCACGTGTGCACGCCGCAGCTTTTCGGCTGCCATCATGGCTCCTGTTCTTGTGCTCCCCGTTTCTCAACTGCAGGGCCTGATCGCCCGCCGCAAGAAACAAAAGCTCTTGCGTTGCCTGAGATGCCCGGCCTCATGCGGCCTCTGTTGTTTCACGCACTTGCCTTGTTGACTGATCCCGACCCTTTCCCCTCTCTGCTGCAGCTGGCCCGAGTGCAGGGTTGCGGGGAACACAAGGCACCGGCGACAGGCCGCATGTCTGGAAGCGCAAAACAAGGGGGGGGTGAGCCTAAGACAAGCGGGGGGGTTGGGGGGGGGGCGCAGCCCCCTGTACTTGCTTGCTTTAGCCCCCCTAATGCGTTTGCATGTGGCTCTGTCCTGCTTATGTTTTGGCGAACACGCTCCTACAACCCTGTTGTTGTCCTTCTTCGAACTTGACCCCCTCCTCCATATTGGAATATAACCCCCGTCTCCATACTGCTGGACTATGAATCTTCTCCCTCCATACTCATGGAGTATGAACCCCCCTCTATACTCCGGGATTACGAACCCCCCCTTTTATTGGAGTAAGGACCAGCCCCCCTCAATACTCCTGGTGTATGACCCCCCCCTCATCTGTCTTGGAATATCCTTCCCGGACCCCCCCCCCCCTCAATACTCCTGGAGTAAGGACCCCCCCCCCCCTCAATACTCCTGGAGTATGAACCCCCCCCCTCATATTCTTTCCCCCCCCCCCTCCCCGCCCGGGGGGGGGGGGGGTCAATACTCCGGAAGAACTAACCCCCCCCACCCGTGTCCTAGCGGCGCGGTCTCGCAATACGCACTACTTGTTATAATGGAATTCTGATAAAGAACAAGATGTAGACATTGAGTTAGCAGTGATCCCGATAAGTCCTGGGGTGTTCGGGTTTGAAAGGATTTCGGTGTGGGACACACCGATCTGGAAGCGGCTCTGTTTGTTGGTTTGCTGCTTAGTGGCCAGGGTTTGGTTTAGGGTTTAAGGAGATTCCGAAAATAAGGGGACCCTAATATAGTACCCTCAATAGTAGGATCCTTGTAATAATCACCCCCAAAATAAGGTACCCCTGATTTTTGGAAACTCCCATATGGAGCCGAAGTGTGGAGGGTTTTGGATTTGGGGTTTCGGAGGGGGTGTAGGGCCGACCTAGGCTTTAGGGCCTTGTGTTTATTAAACAGGTTTCGATTATAGTTTGGCGAGGTATAGGGTTCAGGATTTCTATTAGGGGCCCAAAAAGCACATAAGCATCAGCATTTTTACCGGGATATCCCTACCTTATTGGGCTTCCTTATAAGGGGTTTATATGAGATATCCCTATCCTATTGTTTGCTTTATGTGCTTTTCTTGGGGCCCTTTTTTATGTGGGGTCCAGGATTGCATGGGGACCCTGGAGTCCAGCCTCTAGAGTCAATTCTTCAGATCCTCCGGAAAGCTTAAATTAGGACCTAGAGTAGGCCCTTATTCCCTTTTTGTAGGGTTCAGGTTCCCATATAAGCCCCTTTAAACCAAAAAGGGCACCCTTTTTTATTCCTAGGTTACTCTTGGGTCTAGTAAACCAATTTCTTGAAGTCTGAGCCCCAGAGAAACTCCGAAGCCAAAGCATAGCCGAAACTCGAAACGATGCCCCCTAACCAGATAAGGTAAAAGCCAGAAAGTTGGAATATGATTATCCTAACCCTTCGATGGTAAATTATAGGGTATCCTACCATGAAACCATATTCCAACTTTCTGGAGTTCCCTGTATAGTTTGGCGGGGTCTTGGGGTTGAGGGTTTGGGGTGCATGGTTTGACAGAGTCTTCTACAGTGTCGAGTGTTGGGGCTCAGGGCTTCCCCGATGTTGGTGACTGGCATGCAACAAGTTTCAACCCAGGGTTTAGGGTTTAGGGTTTAGGGTTTAGGGGCAGTTGTAACGTAAAGTATCCAGCCGGTAGCCTGTCGTGTTTTCGGTGGCACTACAATCCCGAAATGATTTCAACGGCTGGGCTGGCAAGAAGCCCAACCCCAAGCCACCCAAAGGAAGCCACAATTCCCCCGGAAATGTTGAACCCGGAACCCTGAGACCGTGTACTTCAGCTCCTACAGGCTATTCGGCACCCTTGCCGGAGCCCGCGACCAAAGCATCGATGAAGCCAAAGAAGGCCCCCATCAACACTGAGGCACGACCTCAAACCGGGAGACAAATGAGGTTTCCCCAAAGGTCCAAGTACTTAATTATCATCCACTCTCCAAAATCCTAACCTACATAACCTCTTTTAAAATCCTAAAACCGAGTACCCTATTATTGGGTCCTTTGGACCCTTGAGGTTTCTGTCGGGGAAGATCGTCTTGCAAAAGGAGAAGAGACGGTAAGACCAGTAGCTAGTAATGGTAGTTATTCTACGATATGAAGCTCGCCATAGCATTTGCCAATGCAACAGCAGTAGCCTTGAACTCATAACTCATAGCACTTACTCAACAGAAGCCCCTCCCCCAACGCACACAACGCTGGCTTCTCGAGCCTTGACGGCAAGGATAATCCCTACTCTAGGTGTCTGAATATTACAAAGACTATTGCTTCGGGTTACTTTTGATCACTATACGAAGATTTATAATATAATCTACACTGAACAAGTGCCCCCATACCCCTAAGCCCGAAACCCCAGACTCTAAACTGCTCCAAACTGCCCTAACGTATCAAGACCCCGAAAACGATTTAATGTAGGGGCCTTAAAAATTAGAATAGGGTCTTGGGGCCCACTATGCTATAGTTATAGTAAGGAACTACCAAAATAGTTTTGGTATTTTTTTGAGTCCCTATAGTGCTCGGGCCTGGAGGACCAGTAGCAGAAATTCTCAACCTCCCAGGTCCAATGATTGAGGTTCGGGGTTGAGGGTTTTGGGATTGCGGCCTTGCCCGGAATTGTAAGCTCTACACCCCAACCACATTTGAACACCATAAAGCCGCACAAAAGAATCTCTCAGAACAAGCGGAGCCTTTATAGTAATCCTTAAAGATCTTAGAAAACACTGCATACAGCCACAAGATTGGCCCTTGAAGGAGTCCTTTAAGGAAGGGTTCCCTTAAGGGCTTCCTTTAAGGCTGGGAGCCCAGGCACCCCAAGAGACCCAAAAGAGCTGGGGTTGAGGGTTTGTTTTCTTTTTTAGGGTTGTGGGTTTTGGGTTTAGGCTTTACCTTAACCCCGAAGAACCTACATGCTTAAGGACTTATATAACGAAATCATAATAAGGAACCCTCAAACGGTAGGTTACACAGGGTTAAGGTAGGGTTTAGGGAAGGAACCCTTATCGGAGAGCCCTTGAAGGACCCAGAAGCGGTCCGTCGGAGGGTGCGGGCCCTGCAAAAGAAGATGCGTGAGATCGAGAGCCTCGGCAACAAAAGCTGAGCTTAGGGTTTAATGGTTTAGGGGTTGAGGGTTTGGAGGTTTGGGGCTTTAGGATTTGGAGGTTTAGGGGTTTAGCGGTTTAGCGTTTAGGGGTTTAGGCTTTCGGGTTTAGGGCTCAGGTTTAGGATTGAGTGCCACTTGAAGGCTCATTGGCTTAAGGACTAGGTCACCCAGCGGGCCTTTTTTCCCCTGTTGTGGTCTTAGGTTCCTTATCTACCACACAGACGCCCGGGAGGATCTAGAAAATAGATCCCCTAATTTCGGGCCCTAAACTACTAAGGGTACTTCATTAAGGGATCTACTTTTTGGATCCTTCTCGGGGGTCTGGGTAACTCTAAACCCTAAACCCTAAAACCCTAAACCCTTAATGGAACCCTTAAAGGAACCCTTAAAGGAAAAGGGGGTATCGGGCCAAAAGGGGAGCCCGTTTTGTGTTTAGGTTCGTGGGGATCCCGGAGGATGCTGCAGTTCCGGACCGGTACAAGTAGGGGTTTAGGGTTTAGGGTTCAGGGTTTAGGGTTTAGGGTTTAGAGTTTAGGGTTTAGGGTTTATACTAAGTAGCGATCTGTGCTTCATATGGGAGTTTCCGAAAGTAGGGGACCTTAATATAGTACATTAAATACTAGGATCCTTATATGAGGACCCCAAAACAAGGTACCCGTAATTTTTGGAAACTCCCATACGCCTGAAAGCAACACAAATACTTGTTCCTAAGTCCACGCGCCACGGCTGTTCAAATATTGGTGGTGTAGCCGCAATCAAGCATTTGTTGATAAGTCTGTATGTGAATACAGCAGTTGCAGGATTGCTAGGGTAGGCAGAAGGGGTATATGGACATCTTGAGTCGAAATTGCATTTTGAACTCCATACTGTAATCAGCTGCCTCCATTCTCCCAGTCGGTCCTGCGTTTGCCTAGCAGCAGTCACTGTACCCAATCCTTGGCAACGTTTCACTCGAAAGTCCCCTTTAACCTGGTGATGCCCTGCCCGAAATCGGAATCCTTCAACTCGGTTTCTAAGATCTGATGACGTCCCTTACTCTAAATCCCGAATCCAAGGCTCCAAATTTGTGGAGTCCTTCCTAATTGTGGGTTCCGAGGAAGCTGAAGCAAATGCCAAGCGCATCACTGGATGTCTTGCAGACGCAGAAGATCGACACTGAGCCCGCCGCTAGCCACTCTGGGAGGTTTCGAGGAGGGCTGGAGGTTCAAGCAGACCGTCATAGCACCCTAAACCCAGAGACTCCAGTATCCCTTAATTAAGGAGTATTCCTTAAATTCATATTCGGGATCCTACTAGAATGTAAAGTATACTCCTTTATGCAGTGATAGTGGAGTCTCTGGGAACACTAGGAGCCCCAAGCCCAGCCCTAAACCCCGGACCGCTGAATCCCCTACCATCCGCAAAAGCCCTCTCTGCCTTTGCTTCTGAGAGCTCGGGGTACTTCTCAGAGAGCCCAAAACCCCTTAATTAAGGAATATGGCCTAAATTGTATACGACTTCATAGTATGGTTTAAGCTATATTCCTTAATTAAGGAATATTGGGCTCTCTGGTTTCAGGGCTTGGGCCGGAGACTTTTGCTCCGATGGGTCTGAAAATTGGATCATCGCACACTGTTCCCCTGAAGGCCCCTATATTCCCAAAGGGTCCAAGTATCATTCTGGTGTATACTTATATGGTATTTTGGGGGTCTAAGTATATACCATAATGATACTTGGACACTTTGGGATTGTGGAACCCTACTTGAAGGATCATGGGACTTAGTAAGTGTGGTTATAAGTAAGGTAACTACAGTTATAATTACTTATAACCCCAATTATGGTACTTATATCCCTACTTACTAAGTCCCATGATCCTCCAAGTACTACAGATCCCTTATAGACCCCTTTAAGGAACCCTTTACTATAGGCCCCTAGCTTACCATCAACCCCATTGTGATGCGAGTTCCGAGAACAGGGTTCAATGCGGGGTCTCCTGACACTTATGTCGGAGCATGCGACCGAGCTTTCCTTGATGTGGGAGCCCAGTTGAGAGTCAGCTTGAAGAACGCTTATAGAAGCCCTGTCAGGTACGATGAGAGAATTCCTCGACAGATCCTTCAGCTCTAAACCGTAAACCTGTCTAGACTAAAAGCTTCATCGAACCCTTATATCCCAAAAAGGATCCCTCCTTAACCTCCCTAAACCCTATATCCTAACACCCCCCCCCCCCCTCCAAAAAAGGAAGCCAACATCCCCCGAACATGCCAAGGAGATCCAGGAAGAGCTCACCAAGCTGGAAGAGCCTTAGCCCTCTCTGGGGTTCAGGGTTTGTAGGCATTGTAGGGTCATACCGAGTCATACCCTGCCCCTTGTTTAGAATAGTACTTTTCTATATGACAGATCCCAACCAAGAAGCTAAACTCACTAGAAAACTTGGCAGGGGTGTGACCTTAAGGGTAGGCTGTAGAGTTCAGGTTTTAGGCCCTCTTGTCGTAGTTGAGAGGTTTTTACTTACGCTTAGGGTTGCTATCAGGGTACTTTTAGGCTTAGTATCGTGGGAGGGGGTGCCAATTTAGTAGGGTGACGAAGAGTAATGTTGAGGGTTGGGGGTTTGGTTTTTTGCTGCAGATAGTGGCTTATGTAGGCCTCCTTTGGGTATTTGGGAGTGTGCAGGCTCGAGTTGCGATGCTGAATTCTGCAATTTTCCCCTTGTCATCCCCGCTTGTCACTTCATTCAGTTACCACAAAATGTGATCTGCATGAAGGATCAGGGATGCTGATGAAAGGGGCACGATTGTGTAAACTTCCGTCCCTGATGATAAGGGGATCCGGATCCGATAATTATCGAAGCCTTGACTTCCCCAGACGCTTGAGATTTCAGGCGTCAGGGCAACATGGAGTCTTCGTGGATTAGTGGTCCTATCTCATGACAGCCCCTGTTTATCGATTGTTGGGGGTGTCAGATGTAATTATGGCCCCTAGATCAATCCCTTATAGTAGCCCGCCATGGACCCCTTGAAAGGAACCCTAACGTAACAACCACGTTCATGATGGTACTATGGGGGGCCTAGATAATTACCTATACTATTTTGGGGGTTCCTTATTATAGTTACAGTTTAATGGGCCCAGAACCCTATTCTATTTATAAAGGCCCCTATATCATGGTGCCCTTATAGTTCCGTTTTTTGTAGCCCTGAAATTAGACCCCATTAATTAAAGGAACCCTATTCTAATTATTAAGACCCCTATATTAGTATTCATCAGCCAAGGACCAGCTTGACCTCCTGGAGCGACCGCCGAAGCTGTGGCAGCACTTGGCTTCGACCGCGTGTGCTATTATTGTTTAGGGTTCAGGGTTTAGGGTTTATTGTTTGGGGTTTAGGGTTTCTTGTTTAGGGTTTAGGGTTTAGTTGTTTTGCTGTTTGTGTTTAGGGTTGGGGGTTTAGGAGTTTCAGGGAACATGGGGTGGTTGCGGCTTTCAGCTGTGTCTTCCGGGCTATTCCGCGGGAGTTGGGTCGAGATGAAGCAAGCGCCCTTCCAAGACAAGGAGTTGTTCAAGCTCTGCAAGGGGCAGTCATAGTACTGGTACTAGCAATAGTAGCAGTGCTAGTAATAGTAATCACTATAATATAAGTATCAGCAGTACTAAAAGAACTGCGAAACTGACTTGAGGAAAATGATCTTCGATGTCGACACGGACAATGGCATTCAGCAGATCCGCGTTTACGAGGCCAGCACTTGCGATGCAGCCCTGTCACATGGAACTCTGGTAATGTACACCATGGTTCCAAACCTTCAAAACCACCCCCACGGCCACAAACCCTGAATTAGCGTTTCGAGTTAAGAATTTAATTCTCGACTTTGGTGTTGACAGCTCGCAAGCAGAAAGTCGTAGTCCGGTGGCGCTGAAAGAAACAGACTCAAGTCGGAGTGCAGGCTGCTGTATCATGAACCCTAAACCCCTAAACCCTAAGCCCTAGACCCAAACCCCTAAACCCTAAACCCCTAATGCCTTAGCGCCCTAAACCCTAAACCCTAAGCGCCCCAACCCCTAAACCCCTAAACCCCAAACCCCTAACCCTAAATCCCTAACCCCTAAAATCCTAAACCCAATGTTTACTTGGGACTACATACCGGGGAAAAAGAAGCTACGTAACACCATTTGCAGCTGCTCAGCTTCCTCTGGTCCAGGGATTATTAACTAGGTATAGGCCCTTGGGACATTTTATATTTTCCCTTATTGGCCTTAGTAGGACCCTATTTATACGAATATTTTCCACAGGCTTTAAAGGGCCAACGTAGTTATATAATATAGGGGGCCTGAGATACTTACCTGTACGATTTTTGGGGGGGTTCCTTAATATGATTCTTATAGTATAATGTCCACCAAAACCGTATTCTAATTACGAAGGCCTCTATATTCATAGATTGTCCCGTCCAGATGCCGCAGGAACGATGGGGGGCTTGTTGTAACCCTAAACCCTAAACCCTGTACCTTAAACCCTAAACCCTAAACCCTAAACCTTAACCGTGTATGCCAGAGTCGCAAGCACCTCATCTTGGCCACTGGCCCGTGCCGTGCTACAGGAGCCTTAATAATTCGAATGGGGTTTTGGGGCCCATAAAAGTATACAGTGAACCCCAAAAAGTTGAAACATGGATTTAGGATGATTAGTGCTAGGATTCCCCATGCTTTACCTGGAAATTTCTGGCTTCTACTATATTCTTAACAAGGCACCACCAAAATAGTACAGGTAGTTATTTAGGACCCTATATTAGTGTTCTGAAGAGACGCAGTGGAGTAGCTCTAACAAACCCCGAACCCTCCCCCGAGAGCCTTCAATCCCTCAGCCGCCCCGAAGTTGTTGAGCCGTGACTGTAATCTCCTGGTTCAAAGCGTAGGGCAACCCCTTTTGCATGTGAACAAACAAGAAATAGGGTATCCTCGTTGTAGATGGGATCCTGGGGAAGGGAGTGTAACTATAGCCTGGAAACTTACAGACTTTTCAATCCATGAAACCCTTAAGCCCTAAATCCTAAAGCCTGGAAGCTTAATCCAAAACTCTAAACTTGGAACTGCCTGGCTTTGAAACCTTAGCCAAAGGCATGGCCGATTACATGCGTCCGAAGGCGCCATGAAGCAGATCTTGAGCGTCCCGCAGCCTGCAGAGGCCAGTCAAGACACGGCCACGCGAACTGTGAGCGTTTATGGCTTGGCAGGTTCCAGCTTTGAGCTGGAGGTCGATTCTGCCCAAACGGGGTGGCAAGCAGCGGAACGCATCGCAGCGAGAGTTGGCCAACCTGCAGGTTTACTTGTGCTGACATCCGGTGGCTGCTTTATCGATCAGCGCCATCTGCTGCTGCATCAAGTCCAGCATGACGAGATCTGGTACGTGGTACGGAAGCTTGGCGCGGGTCGTGTCACGATGCTTTGGGAGCACCTACTCGAGGAGAAGACTCTGTCTGATGTAGCTGCCCTGAGCGAAACGATGTCACTCACATGGCGTTCCAGCCAACGGCTCAACCAGGGCATCCAACTACCCAGCAGCCTGCAGAGTTTGACTTTTGGCCAAGAGTTCAACCAGAGCTTGGATGGCATCCAACTACCCAGCAGCCTGCAGAGTTTGACTTTCGGCTACGAGTTCAACCAGCGGCTGGATGGCATCCAACTACCCAGCAGCCTGCAGAGTTTGACGTTTGACTTCGCGTTCAACCAGAGGTTGGATGGCATCCAACTACCCAGCAGCCTGCAGAGTTTGACTTTTGGCCAAGAGTTCAACCAGAGCTTGGATGGCATCCAACTACCCAGCAGCCTGCAGAGTTTGAAGTTTGGCGCCCACTTTAACCAGAGCTTGGATGGCATCCAACTACCCAGCAGCCTGCAGAGTTTGACTTTTGGCCAAGAGTTCAACCAGAGCTTGGATGGCATCCAACTACCCAGCAGCCTGCAGAGTTTGACTTTTGGCCAAGAGTTCAACCAGAGCTTGGATGGCATCCAACTACCCAGCAGCCTGCAGAGCTTGACTTTTGGCGACATGTTCAACCAGCGGCTGGATGGCATCCAACTACCCAGCAGCCTGCAGAGTTTGAAGTTTGACTTCGCGTTCAACCAGAGGTTGGATGGCATCCAACTACCCAGCAGCCTGCAGAGTTTGACTTTCGGCCAAGAGTTCAACCAGCGGCTGGATGGCATCCAACTACCCAGCAGCCTGCAGAGTTTGACTTTCGGCTGCGAGTTCAACCAGCGGCTGGATGTCATCCAACTACCCAGCAGCCTGCAGAGTTTGACTTTCAGCGACATGTTCAACCAGAGCTTGGATGGCATCCAACTACCGAGCAGCCTGCAGAGTTTGACGCTTGGCTATCGGTTCAACCAGTTGCTGGATGGCATCCAACTACCCAGCAGCCTGCAGAGTTTGACTTTCGGCTACCACTTCAACCAGAGCTTGGATGGCATCCAGTTACCCAGCAGCCTGCACAGTTTGACGTTTGGCTACCGTTTCAACCAGCGGCTGGATGGCTTCCAATTACCCAGCAGCCTGCAGAGTTTGACTTTCAGCGACTTTTTCAACCAGAGCTTGGATGGCATCCAACTACCCAGCAGCCTGCAGAGTTTGACTTTCGGCTGCGAGTTCAACCAGCGGCTGGATGTCATCCAACTACCCAGCAGCCTGCAGAGTTTGACTTTCAGCGACATGTTCAACCAGAGCTTGGATGGCATCCAACTACCGAGCAGCCTGCAGAGTTTGACGCTTGGCTATCGGTTCAACCAGTTGCTGGATGGCATCCAACTACCCAGCAGCCTGCAGAGTTTGACTTTTGGCCAAGAGTTCAACCAGAGCTTGGATGGCATCCAACTACCCAGCAGCCTGCAGAGTTTGACGTTTGGCCAAGAGTTCAACCAGAGCTTGGATGGCATCCAACTACCCAGCAGCCTGCAGAGTTTGACTTTTGGCCAAGAGTTCAACCAGAGCTTGGATGGGATCCAACTACCCAGCAGCCTGCAGAGTTTGACTTTCGGCTACGAGTTCAACCAGCGGCTGGATGGCATCCAACTACCCAGCAGCCTGCAGAGTTTGACTTTTTGCGAAAAGTTCAACCAGCGGCTGGATGGCATCCAACTACCCAGCAGCCTGCAGAGTTTGAGGTTTGGCTACCACTTCAACCAGAGCTTGGATGGCATCCAACTACCCAGCAGTCTGCGAAGTTTCACCTTACGGCACTTTTGTGTAGACACGTGGTGAGCAGTGGTGGGTTGGTTTGGCTTCGTCTTCAAGGGCAATCTAGTCGAATTCTGCAGCTTCTTCCTTACCTTTGGTTAGTAGGGAATGGAAAGAATGCTAGAAATAGCAATTATAATTGTACCCCGTTCCTCCATTCCCTACTAACCAAAGCTAAGCTTCTGGGCTTGCTGCGGTTCTTGAAGAACGTCCTACAGCAGCTGCTCGCCGTCATCAGGGCAACTGGTATCGACGTCGCAGCTCCTTCCTGACTTCGTTGGATCCATGCAGTGACGTTTGCTGTTCACCAAAGGGTTGTTTTAGGCATAAGCTTTTTTTCATGGTGCATGCTTCCATGAAGTTTGATAAAAGCCGTAAACCGAGATCTGTTCGCCATGCCAGAAGGCTACCAGGGCAGCTTTGGGATCCCGGCAGGGTTTAGGCCTTGAACACCTTCAACTTCGCACGCAACTCAATTTGTAGGAACCTGCTTAAGAAACCCTGGCCCTATAACCGCCAATATATTAGGATTCATATAAGGGACCCTAGTAAAGACCCAGGGTCTCTTAATCATGTTCCTACATTAGTGTCGCCCGTGTAACTTGGAGGATCATGGGACTTAGTAAGCATCAACCCTAAACCTTGTATTACAATACTGTAGTATCATGATACGGTAGTGTTGTAGTTCTGTAGTATTATAGCATTGTACGGTAGTACTTTTAGTCGCTTAAAGCCCTAAAACCTAAAGCTTAAAACGTGATCCTAAACCTTAAACCATAGACCCTAAAGACACCACAAGGCACTCTGCAAGTCGATCAAACTGAAACCCTCAACCCTTAAGCGGAAAGTCGTGCAATATAGGGGTTGGAATAATGAACATGCTATTCCCTAGCCCCCAAGCCTCAACACAATCTGCCTAAGCCTTAAACCTGCATCCGTTCCCAGCGCAAGGGAGACGACTGCTACACACTCGCCAAGCAGCCAAATTGCATTGAGCTTTTCTGTTCGGGGATAACTACATCTAGTATGTATAGAGAGGAACTGGACGTAGGATTTTGGAGTTGGAGGCATTCTGCCAACAAAGCTTCGAAGTTCATGGTTGGTTTGCCCGCAGCCTGCAAATGACTAACCTAAGCACGAACTCAGACTTGCAAGTGCTGAATTCTGCTAACCTCCATGTGGCTGCACCAACGCAATACGTCTTCTGCATCATCGTTACCATCATCAACGTCGCCATCATCTTCATCGTCGACGTCGTCATAGAATCATCACCATCATAATCAAGAAGCATCATCATGATCTCCTCCTCATCATCATCATCGTCATCCGACACATGCGTACCACCATCATCATCATCACCATCATCATCTTCCTGCCCAGAGTCATTTTCACAGTTACCATCACGGTGCCCAACACCATCATCGTCGTCATAATAATCGTCATAAAGGATATCATAGGCAACATCATTGTCACCATCATGATCATCATCTGTATTTGGGCGACGGTTGCTATGCTGTGGTTAAAGCTATATGTGTTTGCACATCACCGTCATCGCCATCATCATAATAATCATCATCGCTCGCATTGTCCTGGTCTGTGCCGCCCTGCTCATATCACCATAAAGGCCGGTCTGCATGTTGGAAGGTCATAGGTTTCGCAGGAGCACGGCCAAGTGTAGTTTTGCCGGATCTAGTACAGGTCACAAGCTCTAAATACAAAGCCGTAAAACTCAAAAGTTGACAATGGAGGGTAGCTTTGTACTTATAGTGCTCACTTTGGGGTCTAGAGCCTTTCAGTAGAACTTGATATGCATGTCGGAACCGTAGCGCAATGGCTCCTTTCATGCTTGGATTGTATCATACCCCCAAACCCAATTCTAATCATGGGCCCCTGTAGCCACTGTAGTACCATTGTTTGGCTGTTTGCATTATTCGGCGGTTTCAACAGTTGAGGCAGTTCTGTGACAAAGTTGGGCTGGATAACGAGATGGCCGGGCTCCTTGCCGCCACCTGGCCTCAAGCTGCTGGCGAGAAGGGTTTGTGGGTCCTCAAAAATGCGGCCGCATGTTGAGTAGCCTCTATGCGGGTGTAGGGATTGCGGGCGCAAGGTTTGGGGTTAGGGGTCTAGGTACTTCCTGCACCCATTTATCGAGATTTAGTTCCTTCCAAAGTGGCCCTTATAGAACCTGTTTATAGAATCTGTTGTCGCCAATGTTGGTGGCACGACCCTTAGTATATTAGCACAGTTTCTGGATCCGTTAGTAGCCCTTACAGTAGTAAACTGCTCTGTATAGGGGAGTTTCCGAAAATCAGGGGTACCTTATTTTGGGGCCCTTATGATAAGGATCCTACTATTAGGGTACTATATTAGGGTCCCTCATTTTCGGAAACTCCCAGAGAAGCCCTTGACTTCAACATGCCTCCTTTATCTGTGGCATACCTCATGCTCCCATCGGCTTCGGGGTAACTTCGGGTCTGGGGGATCTCAGATTCGGCATTCCGGAGGGTTTAGGGTTTAGGGGTTTAGGGGTTTAGGGTTTAGGGCTCAATGTTTGGGGTGATTGGGCGTCTCACTACCGCAAGCTTGCGCGATATCTTCATGTCCGGAATCCGGGTTGAAACATGACGTTTTCCTTGGAGGTTCACGGATGTTTGTTTGGTTTAAACGGCTAGTCAGGGGCAGGTCATAATCCAAGCCTATACTACGTGGGAAGAACACGTTAAGTCAGGCTCAGCTTTCCCAGAGATCCCGATCGAAGCATGCAAGTCCCCCCCCACTTTTGTTTCTAAATCCTAAATCGTAGGCCTTCAACCCTGAACCCTCTATCTGTCTGTGTGTCTGTCTTTGTGTCTATCTAGATCTGTGTCCGTGTATGTATGTATGTATATATATATATATATGTATGTTAGTACATATGTTCCACATACATATATACATATGGTTGCATATACAGATATGTACATACATGGGAGTTCTCGCAGCAGTGGGATCCATCCACCGGAAGGAACGAGGTAGCACGACCCGAACCAAGTTCCAGTAGACACCGTACCGAGAGACCCCAAAATCCTTCGATTAAGGGTTGGGATTTGAATCAAAATTAGAAAACCAGGGTTTCTAGGTTGTTGGAGTCTCTGGGTAACCGGGGGAAATCGGCAGAGCTCAAGGTTCCGACTGCAAGGGTTTACTTAAAGGAACATGGGGCTTAGTAAGTGGGGTTATAAGTAAGGTGACTGTAGTTTTAAGTACTTCTAACCCCACTTAGGGTACCTGTAACCTTACTTACTAAGCCCATGATCCTCCAAGTAGGGTAGTAGATGATACACTGAAAGTTGAACCTTGAACCCTGGACCCTTAAACTCTGAACCCTTCAGTCCCAAAATGCAGAACATCCCTGCAGATCCTTTGCAGCTCTGAGAAGCAGTTGTCTTCGAGTACTTCAGGGCCCAACATCATGGAAATCAGAGGCTCCGAACCCGTTCATCTTAGGAACACACGTTGAACTAGTTTCTTATGCTGACTCAAGTAGTTGAAGGTTTTGGGAGTCTCAGGAAATATAACGATTGAGGGCCTTCAGGGAAATAAGGGCTGCTTAGCATAGGGGCCATGATAATTATAATAGGGTATACTGTGACATACTATGACTGCAATGAGGGACCCCGCAAAACAGTATTGGTAAATGTCTAGGCCCTTATATTAGGGTGCAGGGTGGTGTTTCGCTTTGCTCGGTCTGGCCCTTCGATCTATGGGCCATGCATTCCCTCTATCCCTGTTTAGGGTCTAGGGCCCTTTATTAGGGTTCCTTTACACGGGTTTATACGGGCTATTACAACGGATCTGTAAGGGTATTAATTTCGGAACTCGATTAAGAAACCGTGGGTCCATATTGGGGTTCCTTATATGCATCCTCATATATTGGGGTTATAGGCCCAAGGGTTTCTTAATCAGGTTCCTACATTATCCATAAAGGAAAAAGTCTCCTCAGGCCAACATGGAGCAGCGTATGTACCAGGAGTTTGAGTGAGTCTCGCTGGTCTGCCCGGCGACGAAAAAGATTCGAATCATGCTGGTGGCTGTTTCGCAAACACCTGATCCTTCAATTAAGCAATCTAAAGGTTTAGGGTTTAGGCTTTAGGGTGGGAAACGAAGCAGTGTCCTCTATGGTCCAGATCTCTCGAAGCAGAGTAGCGAGGGAAGCTGCCGGTGCCGTTGACCATGTCACCCTGCACCTTTAGTCACTCTAGCCGCCTTAACCCGAAAGCCTACCAAGGCCCATTAGCCTGAAACCCGAAAGTCTAAACCCCAAGCCTTAAAGCTTAAACCCGAAACCCCAAAACCCCTATACAGCAAAATTGAGGATGTTTCACGGCAGTTCAATCCCTAGACTTAAACCTTTTCCGAAACCCGAAATGCAAAAGCACTATACAGTCTTTGACCAACGCCTGCACGGCAAGAAAGTAATCCAGCGACTTCAAAAATCTATTACGGTGGAATATTTCTGGTTCGTTGTTCCCGTCCGTGTATGAGTATGAGGAAGATTCGAAGCCTCACATCGTTGTGGTCCGAGTTATCCCATGAACAAGTTTCCCTGAACCTTTTGCTCTCATACAAGGTTCGAGCTCTTTGAACCTGTACCCTCTACTGTAGCCCCAAGCCCAACAAAATCAGGTTATGATGCTCATGGGTTGTATAGATTTTAAACGGTATCTTAGCGTTTCCCGAGGCAAATCCGATCCTGGACCCAAAAGTTGCAACGACCTAGTGCTCGAATTGTGCGACTTACCAACCTTGGTCATAGAGGCTTACTATCGTTCTCATTTCGTAGATGTGGGTTGCCAAGCTCTACGGGTCATGACTTTACACCCTGGATCCTGGCCCCACAAGAAACTCCACTTCTTCACTTGGCTGCATGACTGCTTTAGTCCTGTGCAAAGCAAGAGACGACCCACAAACACCGCCGAGGCGATGCGGGCCTGGAGAAGCAAACCTCAAATCCCTAAACCACCCTTTCAGGGTCCCAAGAATGTAACAATGTGAGAGGGTTTGCGACGGCCGAGGTGATGATGATGAGGATGACATTCCCAATTTCGAGAATGACTCTCGCCCGTTCCAGACAGTGTCCAACATCCTTTAAACTCTTGTGAGAGACATTCCCCAAGCAACAGAAACTCCTTCACACTTTTCCTGAAGCTAAATATCTGTTTCAAGCGTACCGAAGGGCTCCAAGTTCGCAAAGAGATAGGCTCGTTCTTTGGTTGCGTAGTAAAAGACCCGATTGCAGTGCCGTCTGTCCAGATGGAAATACATTTAAACTACATACACACACACACACATATATATATACATTTATACATACACACACAACTTTCTAGTCTGGTCTTCCTATGACGCGACCAAACAATCCAAATGAGCTGGCCGAGCCGCAATCTCAGCATTACTGAATCTTGAGCTTTGATGAAATGACCGTTTACACCCGAACCGAGCGCCCGCAAACGGTTTCGTATCAACAAAACACAAGAAACAGGGACTTCAAGGATCTACCAGCAGACCTTGAGGTTCTCATGGTTTAACCTACCTTAAACTATCATTACCTAGGTATTTTTGTGGGCTCTTGTCACAATCCTAATATGTGTTTTATAGGGACCCTACAAAAAAGTAGGTTTTGGTAGTTTAGGGTAGGGACCTATACTAGAGGCTTGAATCGTGTCCAACATCGTTCCGATCGTGCCTGGGGGCTCTTGAACCATAGGGACCCTTAGGGGGGTAGGGGGGAGCGGGGGTAGGGCCTTAGGCAGCCTTAATACCTATAAAAAGGATTGAATAAGGCCTATCAGGATGTATAGTCCCCCTCTCCCCCGGGTCCCTATGATTGAGCAAAAGTGCACTGTACTATACCCCGAAGCCCTAGGGCCCTGCTTAAAGGATCATGGGATTAGTAAGTGGGGTTATAAGTAAGGTAACTGTATTTATAATTACTTATAACCCCACTTAGGATTACTTACTAGGTCTTATAAGCCTCCTTATAGAACTCTTATAGAAACCCTATAGATCCCTTATGGATCCCTTTAAGGAGCCCTTTAAGGAACCCTTACTAAGTCCCATGATCCTCCAAGTAGGCCTTCATGTAAGAAGCCCGACAGCCGCAAACCGACACCCGGCCGAAGACACAACTCCAACCCTAAATCCCAAACCCTACACCCTCAACCCTGAACCCCAAACCCTAAACCCTGAATCCCAAACCCTAAACCCTAAACCCCTAAACCCCAAACCCTCAACCCTTAAAAATAACACTATCAAAACACAATAAAGCAAACTAAGAAGCCGGCTTCGTCTCAAGCCGAGGACTTCGGACGAAATCAAGTGCAGAAGGCAAACTGGCAGGCGCTCCGGGGGCTTCAGCGCAGTTTAGGAGTTTAGGTGGGTTCTGGTATTATTTTTGGTTATGGTTATGGGTTCAGGAGTTTAGGTGGGTTTAGGTATTATTTTTGGTTATGGGTTTATAGGGGTTTAGGTGGGTTTAGGTATTATTGGGGTTGGGGGTTTAGGAGTTTAGTTGTGTTTGGGTATTATTGGGGTTTGGGGTTTAGGAGTTTAGTTGGGTTTTGGGATTACTAGGGTTTAGGGTTTGGGGTTTAGGAGTTTAGCGGATTATTAGGGTTTAGGGGTTTGGGGTTTAGGAGTTTAGTTGGGTCTAGGTATTGCGGGTCATCACAGTTTAGGGTGGGGCTTGACTTTGAAAGAAACTGTGTGCAGATTGTACGGGCTGGTGGCCACAAGTGATCGTTTTTGGCTTACGTTCAGTCTAGGGCGGCGGTTTGTTTCCCTGGGACAACACGACACCCACCCTCAATTGTCGAGCTGCAGGGGGCATGTACAATAGGGTTTGACTGTTCAAGTGGCTGATGGTTTAGATCTGGTCTTCGCCTGCACCGATTTGTAGTGAACATGGGTGGTTGTCAAAATGATGGTCCCTTTTTGGGTCCTTATCATAATACGGCACCTAATATTCAGGGTACCCAAAAAGGAGCCGTAATTTTCACAACTACCCACATGAGATACTTGAAACAATCCCAAGCGTTCAACATGCTCCTCGAGAGCTGCAGAACCCTCTGAACCCGAACCTCCATGTTTACAAGCTCTGATCTCTATTCCCTGAACTCCTGGAGCTTGGCCAGCTGCCGATCCAAGAATCCTAGAGTTTGGGGTTTAGGGGTTAGGGTTTTGAGCTTTTGGGGGCTTAGGGTTTAGGGTTGTTTAGGGTTGTTTAGGGTTTTGGGGTTTGGGGCTCAGGGTTTGGATGTTGGGGTGTGGGCATCGGTCGGACATTCGTCAGTCAGTCAGGCACCAGGACTTTTGCCTGCTCGGAGCATACCCTAAGGGTCCATGTACCCAAACAGTATATACCTAGGTCCCAAAGTACCTATATAGGGACTACTTTAAGGCCAAAGTATCTACTATTTGGGTACATGGACCCTTAGGGATACGGACTGGGCGCTCTTTGGAATGCATCCGCTGAAACCTGTAAGCCAGAAGCCCGGATCTTGACCCTACACGGGCAGTTTACGAACTAAGAGATTGCAAGAAGAACCCTCAAAACCCTAAACTCAAAGCTCTTAGTTCTAGAGCTTGTGAGATGAGGTTGTGGTTCGTGCGAGCAGACGCCCTGCAATGTTAACATGCTAGCAATCTGAGCAATCTGTGTGAGTCCAAACTTCGCGTCGACCCCTGGCATACCACAGGGTTTAGGAGATAGGGTTGACTCCTCCCTCAGCAGAAGAAAGGTCAAGCCTTCTCATTTGGCACAGTGCCCCTTGAAGAAAGTTGGGTTACTATGTATGCATTACCAAGCATCAAAACTAGCTTTGACAGGTGATGAACATCTCTACGCCAGCGAACTACTTCCACGCTCTGCGCAGGTAAGCCCTGAAGAGCCCAGCTTTCGTTCATTATTGAGCACTATATGCCTTAAATTCGATTGAAAAGCCTCCATGATTTGAAGGAGTATAGTAGAAGCCAGAAAGTTGGAACATGAGTATCCTCATGCCCTCAAGGCAAAGCATAGGGGTCCTAAAACCCAGGTTCCAATTTTCTTGGATTTGCTTTATAGTTTTGTGAGCACTTATTGGGATCCTTGGCTACCTTAAAAGATTGTAAAGCTTAAATAGACGTCAGGTTGCATAGCCTCATGGAGAAGACCTTAGGGCAGCAACCTCTCGTCACTTTGGACAGTGGGTTTAGGCTTTTGGGTCTGGGGTTTAAAAATTTGGGGTTTGGATTTAGGTTTCAGGGTTTGGAGTTTTGGGGCATGGTGTAATGGCATTTGGGGCTGGTTTATTGCGGTGATGAAAGCTTCAGAAGGACTCTCAACTAATGTCTTATGCAATCGCGCATTCGAAGCCGTCATGCACCTTCCTCCTATAATATGTTGTTTCTACACGCTCGTATTGAGGAGCCCTTCAGTTTAGGGTTTAGGGGTTTAGGGTTTAGGATGTCGTGTCTTCCCGGCAGCCATTATAGGGCCTCAATAATAGCTTCTATTGTTTTGGGGGCTCCGAATCATAGTTATAATTAGTAGTATACCCCAAAACCCTATTCTATTTATTAAGGCCCCTATATCAGGCAGCAGCACCGAGACTTCCGCAAGCCGTTGGTCATCGCCTCTCCGAAGAATCTGTTCCGACTCCGTCAGTTGCTTGGCTTATGGAACTCAAAAGGTCCACCTGCATGTATAGTAGTAGACCCTACGTCCCAAACTTCGAGCCCTAAGAATCATAAGCATCTCTTTCGTCCCAAACCTTACTTGCCCAGTAGTAGAGTAGGAGGACACCATCCCTATGCATTCCCAAAGGCTATCCTTTAGTCGGCCATGGTTAGTAGAATAGTAGAAATGTAGGGTGTCTATGTTATATATCTATAGGAACTAGTGTTATGATTTCGGGAAGTATCCCCCGCAACTTGTAACTGTACCCACCCCAAAACGTTCGAAACCGGATTAAGGACAACTATGATGGGATTCCCTATACC